AGTGATATCTGTAAAGTATGGGATGCTCTGATCAGGATTTTTGCAGCCGATACCGAGTACCGATTTCTTATCATGGTAATCCCGATCCCGATCCCAATTCTGATGCTTCAAGCTTTATATAACTGATATGTAAGCTCTCGGATCACCGTTAACCTTTTTTCAAATAAAGTAATACTATAGATGTTGCCTTTGTTGTATTTTTATATTTTTGTAAAATTTGTACAGTAATTATGTAATATATGTAATGTAATGTAACTATTGTTTTAACAGAGTACTAAATCAGGGCCTGAATTTCGTTTTGGAAAATGGGGGGAATTCCACATTTAGGTGGCTCTTATAGGGAGGATTTTTTTTTATTTGAGAAGGGAGTTCGGGTATTTTTTTAGACATATTTTTTAACTACAATCATCCAACCTAAATGTTTTGTCACCCAGTGTATTTGTGTTTTACAATTTATAATGTTGTTGATTCATATTTATATTGTGAGGAAGATACTTAAAAATAACTTTGATTTCAAACTCTGAATTGAATTTATTTTAACTAAAAAAGACATGTAAACAGTCAGTAATAAAATAAGAATAGATTAATGACAAGCAATGGCACAAACAAAAACAATGACAAGATACAACTAAAATTAACTGTGCTTTAAGTTTTTCAGGTAGGTATAACAGTAATATTCAGGTACAGAAATACCACAGTAACGGAATAATCGGTTTAACTTTAAAATAACACTGGTTAGTCTTCAATGCATAAATAAACATTAATGACAGACAGCAGCAGGTTTATTTAGGAGCATCCCTAGTAAAAATTGTAACAACCTCATATTTATAGAGTAAAATTTAAATGTTCTGACTGTTTGAGTTAGGAATCTTTTATTAAAATAAACCATTGGTCATCTATAACCACACAATTAGATCATGTTAACCAGAGGTAAAACCACACACAGCACCTCACTACCATAGTAAAATCTAACTATACGGTTTCTGTGGTGTTTGTATGGAAAACAATAGCCTGAATACATTTAGTATAAATACAAATGCACAAATGCTATGGCTCATTAACAACCATTACTCAGTTACTACATTTAACACGTCTACATTAATACAATTCTGTATGAATATCACACATTTCTGCCTCAATACCATGGTGCAGTTAGTGCTTCTACAGTAAATCCATGATAAATTGTACGGATTGTTCATGGCACAGTGTTTCTCGTGTTTGTCAGAACTGTTGAGATCATCAGCGCTGTTTCATCTGGCATTAAACTAAATCACAGGGACATGTGTGTTCTTTGCTGAATTTAAGTGCTTCTCGCTGGATCTCACATTTCTCTAGACAGATCACATATATGCTTATAGATATTGCCATACTGATGGTCATAAATATGACGGATGAGCAGGAAAAGTCACGTGACTGAAACAGAATAAGAGATTTGTGTATCATGAGTCGTTGTTTTCACCGTTACGTCTGCAGATGAAGAGAGATTGTGTAACTTTCCATCTTCACCATGGCAGCGGGAAGGTTTGTGTTTTCCGTTTGGTTTAGCGTGGCACAGATCCTGCCCTCTTGACTTTCCATGCCACACGGCACTTTTCTTCCGTCTGCAGCGTCGTCGCTTTTTTCACTCATTATTCTTCTGATCCAGCTACATTCATGCTGCTGAATGTGCTGTCACAGGGTGTTGCTTTCTTACTGGTCCAACTTCTGCTTTCAGTGTGCATATGTGGGATTTTTGACCTATGGTCCAGCAGGCAAAACTGGTGCATCTGATCACATAGTAAAGTAACAGCAGCAAAATTACAGCTTTTGCAATTCGTGTTGGCATTCTTTTCATAATTAAGTGGTACTTTTTGAAAACTCCCAACTGATCACACTTGTAACGCCAGTCATTCTTTTAAAACCTGGTCTCATGCTTTCTTTAGTTGTGCATATTTTCTTTCTAAACATGCATAACCATTGTTATTCAAAAACAGGATTATAACATGTAATTACAACATTTGGTTTAAGCACCAAAACACAACTGTATGATCTTCTTTTAATTTAGTACAATCCTTTAATCAGTTCATTCAGTAGCGAACAATGCTTTCACATGTTTCAACATGTTTCAGATATAATTTACAAATTACAAATCTCTCTAATCTCTCTCTCTCTCTCTGTCAAGTTCAAGTGCAACTTGAGCTTTACTATCATTCTGCCATTCTGTGTGTGTGTGTATATATATACACAGATAACTCACAGGACCAGATAGATATATATAAAAGCAAATATAAAAGAAGTAATCAAACTAAACATCATTTTGATTATACAGGTATTTAAAGGAATAGTTCTCCCAAATATGAAAATGTGCTGAAAATGTCCTCACCTTCAGCCCATTCAGGATGTAGATGAGTTTGTTTCTTCATCGGAACAGATTTGGAGACATTTAGCATTACATCTCTTGCTTTGTTTTTTGCAACCACACAGCTTTTCATTTTAGAGGACGTTAACTGATGGACTGGAGTTACTTGTGGATTATTGTGATGTTTTTATCAGCTGTTTGGACTCTCATTCTGACGGCACCCATTCACTGCAGAGCATCCATTGCTGAGCAAGTGATGGAATGGTACATTAAAAAAATAAATATTCATGGAAAACAGTGCAAGACATTACTAAGGGCATGAGGATGTTAATTCTCAATATACACAACAATAATAAAATAAATAATTATGAAACTTATGTAGATGCTTCAGACAACTGTAATGTATGTAAACATATGTGTTTCTCAGGTGATTCTGGGTAGCAGTAAAGATGTTAAAGTGTCCAGTTCACATTACTGAGAGCGAGAGAGAGCAAACACACACAGTGTTGGACAGAAACAGATCTTATCAAGGTCGGAAACTAATAAAGTTTAGATTTGTACCGAACTGTAATGAGCAACATCGTTCATATAATGAGAAGAACCAGGTATGCTTGAGTATTCTGTCGTTTTTTGGGTCACATCTTGTGATAGCACGTCCTGTTTTTGATTCGTTTAGATGTTTTTGGTCTGTGTGCGTTCATATATCAGTCGGAGCGCACCAGAGTTAATTTGGAAGCGGACTGATCTCGGTCTGATTGTTTGGTGCACGCCAAAGTTCAGATGGCAGAGTTCACACTGATTCAACTGAACACTGATTCACTGATTCAGTTGCACCAGAGTTCATTTTAATTGGACCAAACATGCCCTTATAGTCCTGTGTCACTCACAACAAACTCCATGCAGAGTCCAGGATTGGTTTTATTTCACCTCCCCAACACTGCATGGCTGTGTCCGAAATCGCCCCCTATACCCTTAAATAGGGCACTATTTGAGGGAACAGCCATTTTTAGTGGTGTCCGAAACCATAGTGGACGTTCTCGAGTGCACTCAGTCAATCCCACAATGCACTGCAAAAACGAGTGTACAACTGGTGCACGCTCAACGGCTAGAGAATGCCCATAATGCACCGTGAGAGTCACGCGCCGAATGAATTCCCGCATCTCGCCAGAAGATGGTGCCCGCAGCTGAATAATCAATCCGTTCATTTTTACAAAGCGCTCATCCATGGCGTACAGCATAATGTACAACACGGGTATAAATTCATTGTAAATTGATTATTAAATTGTTTGATTAGGGTTTATACATAATTTCCGTGACAGAGTTCAAGATAAATCCTTTAATCTTACTACTGGAGCTGCTAGTTTGCTAGTTTCAAATGATTAATAAACAGCAAGCACAAACTATGCAAAAGCGGCATTCCTTCCGGTGCACTCAGTGTCCGAATTCACTACTCGTTTTCATTCACTCCTTCTAGTGAACTGAATTAGTGACCTAATGTAGGGAATAGTGAATGAGGGTATAGGGGGCGATTTCGGACACAGCCCATGTTTTCCATGTCTCGTAATCAAACACACCTGATTCAGATCATCAGCTCATTAGTAGAGACTCCAAGATCTGAAATGGGTGTGTCAGATAAGGAGAGATGCAAAATGTGCAGTGTTGGGGGGGCTCCAGGAACGTGGTTGGGAACCACTGCTCTAGAGTGAGCTGTTATACCGTTTTCTCCAGTGCCGACCATGGTGAAAAACTATCACAAACTATCGTCATTTTCCGCATAACCGGAAAAAATTGTTCCTATTAATCTGTAAAAACGATGTATCGTTCCACTTGTAGTCTGGAGCAGCGATCATGTAAGAGTTTTCAAGGTTACGTTGTTTTCAGTTCAGATGTTGGTTCACTCATCCATGTCTCTGAATGGCCGTTTTGTAGTGAAGTGCACAATGGCTGCTCTGTCCATTCATGAGGTGAAGTGTGGTGCGGTGGTGGCAGCAGCATCGGCTGTTTGCTCATGTTTCTCTTATTGTCTGTGCTGTTTGATCTGTTTTATTTAGTCTTTGTCTTAATTTTGTTTTATCTCGTCTTTTGTAATTAGTTACTTTTTGAGACTAGTAAGTTAACACAATATTGTAATGCATTACTTTTAAAAGTAACTTTCCCCAACTCTGAACCTGATATGATTGATTTAGTTGTATTTCAACATTAATTTGTTTTTGAAAAGATCGTGAGTATCTGTCGCTAATGCACAACACTGCCTACACCAATAACAGTTTGACCTTTAATAACTGCGCCATATCTTCATGCTGTTGCGTAATAATCAGTGGTTTGCTTTACAATAAAACACCAAGACATGAAGCTAATCATCGATACTAATGATTTCTCACTCTTATTCAGTGTATCACTGCTGTGTGTGATCTCGTGCTGTTCACAGTGATCTTTGATATTCATCAAAATTATTCATACCTGATTTGAATTTAATGTTAGTATTTCACCCTGCAATATTACACTGTAAAATGCACCATCATTTTTGCTTCAGCATGTTACTTGGTTTAGAGGCACTTTAAAAATGAATAGTGTCAGTCCGATCAGCCAATCACAATGCTGATGCAGAGCTAAGAGAGCGTCAGGTGTGGCTCACTGATGTGTGTGTGTTTGTCTTGTTTAGGACTTGAACACCATCTACACTCATCTGTACCACATGGATGTGCTGTGTCACCTCAGAGAACATCAGCTCAGGTGAGTCTGACCTCAACATCACGGCCTCCCGTGATCAGTAACAGACAGCAAACACACATGGCATCAAATGGTGCTTAACCTTCAGAAAATGATGTCCGTCAACCTTAGGACGGCAAACTAAATATTATATAGTCACACTTTAGTTTGGGGACCAATTTTTACTGTTATCTAGCTATTAGCTATGACATTTGCCTCAATAAACTCCTAATCTGCTGCTTATTAATAGTTAGTGAGGTAGTTGTTTGTTTAGGTATGGTGTGGATTAAGTGATCTAAAATATGATCATGCAGAATAAGACATTAATATGTGCTTCATAATTACTAATAAACAGCCAATATGTTGGTAATATATGCTAATAAGCAACTAGTTAATAGTGAGAATTGGTCACTAAACTAAAGTGTTACTAACTCTTTATTTTATATAAATTTTATATTCATTTAGGTTTGCAATTGTTGCAACCTAACATGTAGGCAAAATGTGTTTAAATACAATTTAACACCACCTGCTAAAAATGAATATCATAAACTAAGAAAAAGAAAAACATGACTCCAGAATGTGTAACAATAATAATAATTAAAAACATGACTTGAAAATCACTGCAACTGCAATTATGTATAAATAATGAAATGATTATATTGATTTTCATAGTTAAATGCGGCTGAAAAGGTTATAGTCTCTGAGGTGGGACAGACCAAAATTAGTTTTTGTAAGGGGGTGTTTAATACCTGGCTAATTCTTGTGAAATATTATTACAATTTCCAATAACTGTTTTCTATGTGAATATATTGTAAAATGTAATCTATTGCTGTGATCAAAGCTGAATTTTCAGCATCATTACTCCAGTCTTCAGTGTCACATGATCCTTCAGAAATCATTCTAATATGCTGATTTATTATCAATGTTGGAAACAGTTGTGCTGCTGCATATTTTTGTGGAAACCTTGATGCATTTTATTTTTCATGATTATTTGATACATATAAAGTTCAAAAGAACAGCATTTATTTGAAATAGAAATCTTTTGAAACCTTGTAAATGTCTGTGCTGTCAATTTTGATTGAATGCATCCTTGATGAATAAAAGTATTAATTTCTTTGAAAAATAAAAATAACTTAATGACACCAAACGTTAATGTGCATTCACTTTTTAAGCTAATTATGGGGTTCATTCACAGCAGGACGTGAGTTCAGTTGTTCTGAATGGGAGAGCAGATCAAACACTCCCAGACATCCTCATCACAGCTTCCGTCCTCCTCTCAAACCTCTCTCTGTTACAGGTCCATGTGCATGACGGCCAGGTTCGAGCGCTATGAGGCCAACCATGTTCTCTTCTAGTAAGTACATCTCTGCATGTTAGTAGTGTTGAAAGCACATACTGATAGATAGCAGTTGAATCCAGGTTTATTGTCTTTAACTGAAACTGAAACCATAAAAATTTTTTATTACTTTAAAAATAAATAAAAATTAACTGAAATAAAATAAAATATATATATATATAATTTCAGCTAGTTGCCAAGGCAACATTTATCATTTTGTTTTGTTTATTTTGAAGTACTAAAATAACTTTTAATAAAACGTAAAAAAAAGTTGACATATTTAAAAATAAAAATAAAAATGACAAAAACCCAACAAAATTACTAAAACTGTAACTAAAATTAAAGTGAAAACAAAAAATGTAAAAAATAAAAATAAAAATGAATTCAAGATATTAACAAAAATATAAAGACCGGGCCACACCAAGCAAACAATCGGCCATTGGCCAGCGTCGGGTCGTCGGTGAGCATCTGTCAGGCTGTTTTTTTTTACACCAAATACAGCATGTTGAATCGGCGTCGGGTCCGTCGGTGAGAGGGAGAGCTCTGATTGGATGTTCAGTTTAGTGAACGAGTCAGTGCCTGAGAATTAAAGTGAAAGTGATGAAAACGAGCGAGTAAGTCAAGACGGCACAGACAGAAGGCAGTTCTGAGCTGCTTAATATGAAGAAAGTTATCAACATAACTGATATTCAAAATAGTAAGCAACGCTGCTTTGTTTACATTTCGTATATCGGCGTATATCTCGTATATCCTTGTTTCAGTTTCTCCTTTTGAATGACGAATATAGACTATTGATATCTGCTGATATAGACAGCAGACATGTCCACAAGTCTTTCATCTGAAGTCCGAGTCAAGTCTCGAGTCTTTAAGCTGGAGAGTCGATTCTGGAGTCATTTCATTAATTGTTGCAAATAAATTCTCATCCTTAAAATTTACAAGGTTGTATTTTAAAGACAAAATATGTTCCAGGGATACTATTAGGATTCTAGCTTAACTTGTCTTCCTCTACCTGTACACACAGTCAATCCAAGATACAAAAATACATACATTTATTTAAATTTATTTATCAAAAATACATAAATTAATCTAATTCTAGATCTAATTAATCACACATCAATTTTAGCTGAGAATACGCCCCCCAAAAGATCATTGAATATATTGTAAAATGTAATCTATTGCTGTGATCAAAGCTGAATTTTCAGCATCATTACTCCAGTCTTCAGTGTCACATGATCCTTCAGAAATCATTCTAATATGCTGATTTATTATCAATGTTGGAAACAGTTGTGCTGCTGCATATTTTTGTGGAAACCTTGATGCATTTTATTTTTCATGATTATTTGATACATATAAAGTTCAAAAGAACAGCATTTATTTGAAATAGAAATCTTTTGAAACCTTGTAAATGTCTGTGCTGTCAATTTTGATTGAATGCATCCTTGATGAATAAAAGTATTAATTTCTTTGAAAAATAAAAATAACTTAATGACACCAAACGTTAATGTGCATTCACTTTTTAAGCTAATTATGGGGTTCATTCACAGCAGGACGTGAGTTCAGTTGTTCTGAATGGGAGAGCAGATCAAACACTCCCAGACATCCTCATCACAGCTTCCGTCCTCCTCTCAAACCTCTCTCTGTTACAGGTCCATGTGCATGACGGCCAGGTTCGAGCGCTATGAGGCCAACCATGTTCTCTTCTAGTAAGTACATCTCTGCATGTTAGTAGTGTTGAAAGCACATACTGATAGATAGCAGTTGAATCCAGGTTTATTGTCTTTAACTGAAACTGAAACCATAAAAAAATTTTATTACTTTAAAAATAAATAAAAATTAACTGAAATAAAATAAAATATATATATATATAATTTCAGCTAGTTGCCAAGGCAACATTTATCATTTTGTTTTGTTTATTTTGAAGTACTAAAATAACTTTTAATAAAACGTAAAAAAAAGTTGACATATTTAAAAATAAAAATAAAAATGACAAAAACCCAACAAAATTACTAAAACTGTAACTAAAATTAAAGTGAAAACAAAAAATGTAAAAAATAAAAATAAAAATGAATTCAAGATATTAACAAAAATATAAAGACCGGGCCACACCAAGCAAACAATCGGCCATTGGCCAGCGTCGGGTCGTCGGTGAGCATCTGTCAGGCTGTTTTTTTTTACACCAAATACAGCATGTTGAATCGGCGTCGGGTCCGTCGGTGAGAGGGAGAGCTCTGATTGGATGTTCAGTTTAGTGAACGAGTCAGTGCCTGAGAATTAAAGTGAAAGTGATGAAAACGAGCGAGTAAGTCAAGACGGCACAGACAGAAGGCAGTTCTGAGCTGCTTAATATGAAGAAAGTTATCAACATAACTGATATTCAAAATAGTAAGCAACGCTGCTTTGTTTACATTTCGTATATCGGCGTATATCTCGTATATCGTTGTTTCAGTTTCTCCTTTTGAATGACGAATATAGACTATTGATATCTGCTGATATAGAAAGCAGACATGTCCACAAGTCTTTCATCTGAAGTCCGAGTCAAGTCTCGAGTCTTTAAGCTGGAGAGTCGAGTCTGGAGTCATTTCATTAATTGTTGCAAATAAATTCTCATCCTTAAAATTTACAAGGTTGTATTTTAAAGACAAAATATGTTCCAGGGATACTATTAGGATTCTAGCTTAACTTGTCTTCCTCTACCTGTACACACAGTCAATCCAAGATACAAAAATACATAAATTTATTTAAATTTATTTATCAAAAATACATAAATTAATCTAATTCTAGATCTAATTAATCACACATCAATTTTAGCTGAGAATACGCCCCCCAAAAGATCATTTAAAAACATTGTGTTAGATGAGTAAAGCATTGGATAGAGATTACAAAAAGTAGCTTTAGAAAGAAATATTTTGTTTCGACATAGCATAAATAATGATAATAGATGGACATTAATGGTTTTTAAAAAATGAGTATTGAAATATGAAATTTTTTTTTTTTAATGAAATGATACTCAAAATATGAAACTGAAAACTCCAGTAGGAGTGAGTCATTCAGTCATTCAGTCAGCCGACTCCTTCAAACGGATGATTAATTCAGAAACAAAGCAAGTGACTATCTTTATGAATTGCTCACTGAATCTTTGACTCGAAAAAACGTAAGGTAGATTCATTCAGGAACGAAACACCGCTGTGTTTTTGACGCACAACAGTTCTGCTGTGGCTTTGTTCGAACTATTTTCATTTGGGAAATTGAGCAAAGCATTGTGTCTAAAATTTCACATAATATTAACTTCGTTTATTGAGCTGTTGTATAAAATCAATATCACATTTGCAATCATGCAGATATTCGGGAAAAACAGCACTTTTGCTCGTGTGATGTGGCTAAACTATATCATACATAGTGTATATCATATATAAACACATGCGTAATTTTTTCCATAATTAATCGCACCAATTAAAACGTTAAATAGACAGTAAGTAGACATGATTACTTTTATTAGGTGTTACATCTGACTATCAAAATGTTTATTTGAAGCGTCAGTTTTTGCATTATGATTAGTCACACCTGAACACATACATATATACATTAAGAGAGAGAAAATCCGTATCTTTGTAAATTACAGAAAGATTGAGAAAATGTTGTGCTCGGTTTAAGGCTAAATTTTTATGTTTTTAACAGGACACACCGCAAGCACATGTGAGTTAATGTTACTAAACTTGGATGTGTTTTAAGATGTGATACGTTCTAAGATTTGATGCTGTCTTTAATTCTTTAATTGTTTTCCCACATTCACTGCATCTAGCCGATCTTCATGAAGTTCCTGATTCTGACACACTAATATAACCAAATGTGAGAACGGTGGCTCCCGCCATGTTTCACATCCTTCTGACATTTCGCAATGTACGCGCAATACGTCATCAAATACTATGATAAAAGTCCTATCTACATCAACAAGGAAATATGCAGATATAGTAAAAGCATAAAAGTAAATTCCAAGTTCTTTCTTATCAGTATCAGTAGTTAAGGATAAAAGACTCGAGTTGTGTTTAAAATATTCACGAGTCCTTCGTGTTGAGTCGAGTCAAGTCTGAAGTCTTTTCAGGTTGAGTGTGAAGTCTGTCAAAATGCGACTCGAGTCCGAGTCACTAACTCGAGTGCCCATCTCTGATAGACAGCAACTCCTTAAACACAGACGCAGAATGCACGTGCTAGATTTCAGTCTGTGCCGTGTGTTCAAGCGCAGCTGTTTGGTCCAGACGCAGCCAACAAACACCATCTGCTTTCGTCGCCGCTAGTTCTTTGAAGTGTGCCTGGTGTGTCCCGGCCTTAATAGTAAATCATTGATACTAAAATACCAGCGCAGCAGACGTCCTGATGTGTGACTGGGCTCATGTGGAGGGTTTTGGTGACCTGTGTCGTGTCCTGTGTTTGTGTTCCAGTGCTGACAGCATCTCCACGTGCTGGTTTGTCCTGCTTTCGGGCTCAGTGCTGGTCAAGGAGCACATGTATCTGGCGCGATGCTGGTATGTACCTCACCTCGCTCTTCCACACATGTGTGAACTGACAGATGAAACGTGCCTGACTGCATGGTGAAGTGATGATGTCATAGGCATAATGTGTGTCAGCCAATGATGAGGCTTCACTTCCTCAGCATGCCTCTCATTTCTCTTTACTCATTCCAGCACCAGACGTCCTGATTGTTTAGAAAATCATGTTAACTAGTACTATATTCAGAAGGCACAGCCAACTACAGCTGTACACTAGTAGACTAACTATTGTTTAATCATGAAAACAAGGTTTTATTTCAGCCACCGTATATATGTCATCTTTTTATATTTCATCAACAAACTGGAGTTTTTGTTTTGTTGAATAGTTTGAGTTTGTCTTTTGAATAATTTATTGATTATTAAATAGAAATTATTTTAGCTTTCCGTTTTCAGCCAAGTGCATCCTGAATTTTTGGTTTCCGTTTCAGCCCAGAATTTAAATTTCGATGCATCACTATTCAAAATGTTTTTGCAAAAGTGTAAGTGTGTCTTTTTGAACTTTTATTCTTCACATTGCTTCACAATTGCAAAATACCCAGCTTAGCAAGTTACAAGCAGACATTATTGTTATTGTTATTATTATTTCTAAGACAGAAATATACTACTATTGTAACACAGCTGCTCTGTAAAACAAAAACAAATGTTTTATGATAAGTAAATTAATTATTTTGCTCTACAAATGATTTTACTTTAATAAAATTACAATATTTATGTCTTAATTTTTTCACTTGAGAGAGTTAAACCCTCAAGCTTTTATTTTAGCTGGCAGCTGCAGGAAGACCTTTAATAGGTTTACAAATGCTTCTCATTACAAATCTGTGTAAAATGCATGAAAGCATAAAAAGCTGTAATCATCTGTCCACAAATATTGGAAATTATATAAATGTGAAAAACTATAACTGGCTCAAGCTGCGTTCTCAAATGCATATTAAACTCATAGCACATGCAGTGAACAAGCTGCGAGTCTATATACTTATAGACTTGCAACGGACTATATACTTATTAAAATACTCACTGCTGTCAGAGAGAAGAGAGAGCGATAAAGCACAGCTGGTATCAGTGTATCAGTACTGCATAAAATGAGCACTGAAACAGTTTCAATTATTCATGATTGGTATGTATCAAAATCTATGTTTGAATTCCGCAAGTAGAGTTGTTAAATCATGAGAAGGCACTGAAATGATTGATTTGTTTGTTTGATTTGTTCTTCACTTATATGAAGCCTCATGGCTGGAGTGTTTGTTCATTGTGGGTGTTTTTTGTCCTGAAACATGAAGGGAAGTGTGTGTGTGGGTGTGTGTTTGTCCTGTGTGTTTCCTGACCTCTGCAGCGGTCAGTGGCAATGAGGAATGCGGAACTCATGTCGCTAGAGTTTTCCAACTGTGTGTGTCATGAACGCATCCAGACCGGAAGCGGCCCTCACCCCTCACTCCTGTGACCAGACCCCATTTTGCTCATTGATGAGCCGTTTCCCTTCAGGATTTCAGAATTCATGCTTCTTAAGTTTCAGAGCATGAAAATCATGATTTCTCAGAAATAAGACGTTGTTCTGCAGGACAGAAGAATCTGAGTGGAAATAATTCGGATGCTTCGAGCCGGTTTGACTGCATTGCTTTCGCTCTCGGGTTGAAGCCGTTGGTCCTTGCGTCATGGATAAGCAACTCTCATCTGAGGACGCTGGGCTCCTGTAGCAGCACCTGATTCATTCTGAAAGGAGGTGTGAGTGAGCTATACGTCTCACAGTCTGTGTGAGCATGTCGTTGGTCTCGTATCACTGTGAGTAACAGCGGTTTTTCTGTGACTTCTGAGCTCAGATCTGTGTGTGCTGTGTGACGAGGCCGTGCTCACGTGTCGTGTAGTTTTAACTGGTGGTTTGTGGGTTCAGTGTCAGCACTCTGTGTTGTCATGGACACACGGCTTTGTCATGTTTTCTACCTCATCAGTGTCAGGAAGAGAAAGTTCAGCTCAGACTCTCACTTCTGCTGATGTTAAGCGTGCTCAGCTCTCTGGCGTATTTATATCACTCGTGTTAATGTGCTCGTGTCTTATATATGAAATGATGTTCTAGCAAAACTTAATTTTTCAAATTCCAAATTTGAAATTTTCAAATTTACGGCAAAGTGTTAATAAGGTGTTTTCTTCCTGTCTGGTGTTAAATGAATCCCTCCTGATCTTCTGCCCTCCTTCAGTTGGATTTTTTCACGTGTTTTATAGTCCAGTATGTGCATCTGATCACTTATGAAATGTGGCCGGAATCACAGAATCCAGTCATAAACTTTTAATTTACTGTATAACACAGAATGTCACCGAATAGTGTATGGCAACGTGGACTTGTGTCTGTGAATATTAAACTGCAAAAAGGCTGCTTTTGAAATCTGAAGTTTGCATGTTCTGCATGTCTCTGTGTGAACGGGTGGCATAGTTTTGTCTTACTCAAACTCAAACGCACGTGGCACTTGTCTGTGTCTCGCTATATGAGGACTTGAACACATGAACTTCATCTCCAGAGCTGCTCTGAGAGTCACTTCAGCAGCTTTACACAAAACTGCCATCAAATACACTGAAAAGATCTTCACCACAACCCACCAAATTAAAAGTTTAGTTTAACTGGAATAAATTATGACAGAAATAATAATAATAATAATAATAATTATTATTATTATTACAGTTAATATTACAGTTCACTAAATCATTTTAAGAATATTACACACTTTTTTGTCTATGTTTTAATTTAAACAATAAACCTTCTTTTTAATACTAATTTAAATAGTTAATGTTTTATGGCTAATTTTGATTACCACAGTTTTTGATAATACATTTTTGTATTAAATCATAAATCCAGAAAAAAAACCTTTTCATAGGGCCATATTATTGTACAAATTGTTATAAATTATTAAATTGTTAATGTTGTAATAATTCAATTTATTAGACATGCACAACATTTAACATTTAATTAAACATTAACATTTAATTAAACCGTTTAAACATAATCTAGAAAAATTACAATGGAAAACATGGAATTGGTGAACAATAAAATGGAATTAGGGGAAAAACAAAACACATAGGGCCCTAAAAATGTCATATTTTTAAACTTTTAATAAATTGTTGTTAAAATTTATTATTTCAATTAATTAGCTTTTTGATTCCTAAAATTTAATTGGTAACACTTTAGTTTAGGGACTAATTCTCACTATGAACTAGTTGCTTTTTAGCATGTATATTATTAGCACAATCACTGTTTATTAGTAATTATAAAGCACATATTAATACTTTATTCTGCATGAGCATATTTTAGATCCCTTAATTCTACCCCATACCTAAACTAACAACTACCTTACTAACTATTAATAAGCAGCAACTTAGGAGTTTATTGAGGCAAATGTTGTAGTTTATAGTGAGTTAATAGTGAGAATTGGACCTTAAAATAAAGTGTGACCATTTAATTTAACCATTAAAATGGAATCCAGAAAAATTTAAACGGTAAGAAAAACAGAATTTGATTTAAAAAAACTAACTAACTAACTAATTAAATAAATAAAACTGATATCATAGGGCCCTAGTAAAGTATGGCAGCACACTCTCCTCAACAACAATCATTCATGTCTGGAGCTGGCAATGAACTCCAGTACTAGTGAAGGCTGAGCTAGTGAACACCAGTAATGTGGGATATGGAGGTTCAGGAGAGTTTGCATTAGATGACACTGGCACTGGAGCTGCAGTACTTATGTTCGTCCACTGAGAGGAGCGCATGAGCTCACAGTGAGAGTCGGGACGCTGCTGACAGCTCTTCCCTTCGTCTGACAGCAAGGTTCAGTCTCACTGGAGTGTGAAGAGATGTCAAAGCAGACCTGACCTCTGACCCTCTCTGGCTTCGCTCACACAGTAATGACGCTTCTGCACCGTGATCTGAGAGCACAAACTGAGAGTCCATTCCTGCACACAGACATTTTGTTTGGTGTTCGTTTGCTTGTCGTCATTAGACAAGGGAAAAAAAACAGCTTTTTTCCTCTTCTCTAGCTTGCTTCCTAATCTAGTTGTCTAATAAACTTGGCATTCTGTATTATGAATGTTCTTTCCCGAATTCGCTTTGGATAAAAGCGTCTGCTGAATACATAAATTAGCAGTGTGAAATGAAGCACTGGCCTCATTGAACGTCAGTGTTTCATTTACTACTTAAAGACGGCCAGCTGTTCAAGATCTCATATGAGCCACGTCATGTCATGGCCGAGATACAACTATTTGAAAATCTGGAATCTGAGAGTGCAAAAAAAAAAATCTAAATATTGAGAAAATCATCTTTAAAGTTGTCCAAATGAAGTTCTTAGCAATGCATACTACTAATCAAAAATTGAGTTTTGATATATTTGCAGTAGGTAATTTACAAAATATCTTCATGGAACATGATCTTTACTTAATGTCCTAATGATTTTTGGCATAAAAGAAAAATCTATATTTTTGACCCATACAATGTATTTTTGGCTATTGCTACAAATATACCCCAGCGACTTAAGACTGGTTTTGTGGTCCAGGGTCACATATATTGTCTACAATAATACTGTAATTGTTGTTTAAACACTATGCAATTTTACATAATCTAGTATATCGCAAAAACCAAACAAAAAACACACCCAGAGAGTGTACGCATACACTACATTATGTAGGTTAGACATATATTTACAGTAGGTAATTTACAAAATATCTTCATGGAACATGATCTTTACTTAATGTCCTAATGATTTTTGGCATAAAAGAAAAATCTATATTTTTGACCCATACAATGTATTTTTGGCTATTGCTACAAATATACCCCAGCGACTTAAGACTGGTTTTGTGGTCCAGGGTCACATATATTGTCTACAATAATACTGTAATTGTTGTTTAAACACTATGCAATTTTACATAATCTAGTATATCGCAAAAACCAAACAAAAAACACACCCAGAGAGTGTACGCATACACTACATTATGTAGGTTAGACTACTGAACGAGCACATTTAGAGTTCACGCTTTCACTGTGTGATTTAGTCTGTTAAAACACATTCAGAATTCCCCCAAAATTCAAGATAAGGGGATGAAAATGCCCCCATATGACTTTTATATGTCTTTTATATTTATATCATCTGATGTAGTTAATATAACACGAAGAGTGCAACGACTGCAAATGTGATACTGATTTTATAAAACAGTTCAATAAACAAGAAGTTAATATGAATTGATTTACATTTTAGACACAAGTTCCTGTTTCTGCTCTATTTTGTCAATGAAAGTGGTTCCAAACAAAGCCACAGCAGAACTGTTTTGCATCTCTGAGCATCACACGACGATGTTTTGTTACTGAATCAATCAGCCGTTTGAACGAATCGGTTGAATGAATGACTCAGTGACTCACTCATGCAGTGATTTGCCCCCACCTACTGGCGATTTCAGGTTTATATTTAAAGTATAATTGATCTTTTTCCCAAAATCATTTCAAATATCAGTATTCAATGTTTTGTTTTAAAACATCAAAACGTAATGCATTTGTAGCTGCAGGTTAACTGCATTCATGTCCCGCATTAAACAGTGTGTAAATGCATCTAAATGACACTTCAGATGCAGATTCTGTGCCACCTCTGCATTGCAAACACAAATTTTGTTGATACTGATTTCATTTGACTGGTAACAGCCCTATAGTGTTTTACTAATAGAATTTATTGATTAAATTCACTTCACTGGGCAGTGCTAAATCCAGCAGTGCATATACTTATTTATTTATTTTTTTCAGTTTCAAAAATATATTTAAATGAGCTTCACTGCTTACAACATATATTTAGCATATTTTAAAAATATATTTTGGCCAGAAAAAAAAATATTTTTTGCTGTATGGAAAATGTCAGTTGGTATGTTCCTGTCTAATCGCACAGTTCTTGGTCAGAATGAGCTGCAGTGCAGACTTTGTGCCAATAGTCTAAAGTCTGACTACCATCATTGAACAACTGTTATACTGACAACCATGTGTTTCTGGAGTGAATGAATGTGTTTAATGTGTCAGTTTGTGTGATTTATCCAGAGAGGTTCACGCTCTAATTCCCTCTCTCTGTTTCTCTGTGTCACTGCAGTTTCGGGACGCAGCGTGGAGGAAGACGAGGCTGTGAATGCATCACTTTAGAGCCGTCCGAGATGATTGTGGTGAGTGGCACGTTACACACATCTCCTCTCACACCAGGCGTCTGCTGACGTCCACTCACAACATGCTTTCTTAAAGGGTTAGTTCAACCAAAAATGAAAATTCTGTAATTAATTACTCACCCTCGTGTTGTTCGAAACCCGTAAGACAATTACTCACCCTCGTGTCGTTCCAAACCCGTGAGACCTTCGTTCATCTTCGGAACACAATTTAAGATATTTTTGATGAAATCTGAGGGCTCTCTGACCCTCCCATAGACAGCAAGGTAACTACCACGTTCAAGGTCCAGAAAAGTACCAAGATGATCGACAAAGTAGTCCGTGTGACATCAGTGGTTCAACTGTAAAGTTACGAAGCTACGAGAATACTTTTTTGCGCAAAGAAAACAAAAATAACGACTTTATTCCACATTTTCGTCTCTACTGCGTCACTTGTGGACACGCGTTCACGACAGTATCATGACGCTAGCGTGTGGCGGTGCTGACCCAGATCCGTCGTAATGACATCATCGTTATTTTTGTTTTCTTTGCGCAAAAAAGTATTCTCGTAGCTTCGTAACTTTACAGTTGAACCACTGATGTCACACGGACTACTTTGTCGATCATCTTGGTACTTTTCTGGACCTTGAACGTGGTAGTTACCTTGCTGTCTATGGGAGGGTCAGAGAGCCCTCAGATTTCATCAGAAATATCTTAAATTGTGTTGTTGTTGTTGTTGTGTGAATTTTCATTTTTGGGCGAACTAACCCTATAATACACATGCCTGATCTGACTGTGGATGCTTCTTCAGTACATGTGACAACTTCTTCTGAAACCACTTTCCCTTTTGGCGGACATGACCTAGGCCGCAGATAATGTCAACTAGTAGTTGTCAGCAGTGTTGGGGGTAACGCATTACAAGTAACACGAGTTACGAAATCAGATTACTTTTTTTAACTAGTAAAGCAACACATTACTTTTAAATTTACAAGAAAATATCTTAGTAACTTTTTCAAATAAGTAGCGCAAGTTACTTTGTTTTCCCATTTAATCACTGACACATCTCCTGTCCTCGTGTTGAGAGAAATTGTGAGTGCTGTTCAGAGGCACTTCCTTCAGCCTTCAGCTTATTAATTTCACTTTTGGTGTGAAAGGGCCTTTACAGTTGCCAAAAATATAACTTTTGGGCTTTTTGTTATTAAAAATAAATAAACAAGCCCAGCTCAGGTGACAGAAAGTAACATAAAAGTAACGTAATGCATTACTTTACATAAAAAGTAACTAAGTAACACAATTATTTACTTTTTTATGAAGTAATGCAATATTGTAATGCATTACTTTTAAAAGTAACTTTCCCCAACACTGGTTGTCAGTATCTGTTCAGTTATTGTTTTAGGTTACTGTTTTAGTTGAGGCAGTCTTTTTAGCCTGTAGTGAAACGTTAACATGAGAAAAGTTACAGCCATAATATCAAACAATGACAAATCTGAAAAAGAAGCACCACCACTGGGATGTCGGAAGATTTAAATAAATTATGCAACGTGATTACTAAAGGAAAATTCCTACAAATAATATGCAATAAGGACAGTTGCAGAAAAAACATGTTTTTTCATTGCTAATGTTTCACTCTGTGTGTTTATTAAATCCTTACAGTAGTTTTTTAACACCAAAAAAGGGTTTGCACTGGCGCAAGCTGCTAGTAAATCTGGCCCCAAGTGTTTAAAAAATGCACTTTGTAATAATGATAAATTAAAAAAAATCACTTTAAAATGCATTTTAAATAATCGTTTTAATAATCTTTTGTTTTATACTTTAAAGAATTACACTTATTATGATGTGTTGACTAATATACTAAAGCACACGTAATGTACTTGACTGTAATTTTAACTGCAGTGTGTTAAACATACTAAATTGCAACTTCATCATTACAGATCTGTAATTATACATTTATTTAAATACATTATTTAAATATTTACATAGAAGTTCCATTAGAAATGATATTAAAGTAGATTTTAGTTGACCATAAATGTTTGTCAGTACATTCAGCTGTACACTAACCATAATTCAAAGACAATAGAAGTAATTATACAATTATACATAAAGATGCATTGATGCATTTGCATTTAATATATATTTAAACTATAGTACATTTTCATTTAATTTTAAATAACTTGCCGTTCAGTGTCTGAAAACATTAAATTTAGTATGAGTATGTTCTTATAAAATATGATTTCTGTAACAAGTGCTCTTTTTAATAGTATGCTGAAGTGTACGTCTTTCTCACAAAGGCCTCCAGGAGCAGTTTGACAGCCCTGGTATAAGGTCACAGGGAAGAGCTGGTGAATGCTAGAGAGTTTGTGTGGATAGTAATATCATCTCGAATCTGTCGTTCTCCAGCGTGCAGGAAATGAGCCATTATATGAGCTTTATCTTACATGAGCTCTGAAAATGAATGCTCAGGGTTCATCTTCTCTCTCATTGGCTGTCCTGAAGTGAAGCATCTGTTGACTCTGCTGAGGATGTAGATGAAGGTCCAAGTTTATCAGAGATCAGAGTGTATATCCCACAGGACCAGATGGGAAACGTGTCGTCCTTTTGTATGTGGCACATCAGCATTATTCTGCACTTTATCAGGCTGAACCTGTTGAAACTCATCAGCTGATCAGTGTTGGGGAAAGTTACTTTTAAACGTAATGCATTGCAGTATTACGTTACTCCATAAAAAGTAACTAATTGCATTACTTAGTTACTTTTTATGGAAAGTAATGCATTTATGTTATGTAATTATGTTACTTTTGTGTTACTTTTTGTCACCTGAGCTGGGCTTGCTTATTTATTTTTAATAACAAAAAGTATAGTATATTTTTGGCAACTGTAAAGGCCCTTTCACACCAAAAGTGAAATTAATAAGCCTCAGGCTGAAGGAAGTGCCTCTGAACCGCACTGACAATTTCTCTCAATTTGTCAGTGAATAAATGGGAAAACAGCGTAAAAGTTACTTATTTAAAAAAGTAACTCAGATATTTTCTTGTAAATTCAAAAGTAATGTGTGAAAAAATAATCTGATTGCGTAACTCACGTTACTTGTATTGTGTTTCCCCAACACTGCAGCTGATAGACATTTTTCCACTGTTGTTTTTATAGAGGTAAATGTAGGTAAATGGTCCTCCGGTTATGTCACATTCAGAGTGAGGATGAGGAAGTGCTTGTGAGGTGGTTAAATGTTATCAGGCTAATGGTATAAAAGTGTACATTTCTCGTCAATCAACACCCTCTGCTACTGATAGCAATGACAGAAATAAGCTAGAGTTAGAATAGCCAAACATGTGGGACACACAATGAATGCTCTTTTTTTGTTCTTCGAGCATTCTTCGTTGTGGATATGTTCACACCAGCTCTGCAATTCAGCTCTCCGGTGTGTTCATGTTTTCTGACCTTAAAAGGATAGTTCACCCAAAAATGAAAATTTGATGTTTATCTGCTTACCCCCAGGGCATCCAAGATGTAGGTGACTTTATTTCTTCAGTACGGAGATTTTTAACTCCAGCCGTTGCACTGCGTTACAGCAAAAAGTAATATACTACTGTAATATTATTACTTTTGTAATGCGTTACTCCCAACATGTGTAAACAATGAGTGACGTATACGCGCGAGAGATCACTTCCGGCGCTTGCGTATTGTGATTGAAGTAAGCATTTGACATTACCTCTACAAATTTAAAAAATGCCCCTGGAAATCAATAATTTCTGACCTTGAATGTATGTCTCATGTTTAGGACAACTTCGATTGTGTACTTTTCCTGCAGCAGCTCAATTTTCGATAGTGTTTTTATAACATCAGATATATTGATATACTGATATTGTGCCATCCGAGAAACTCTGTATTTCTGCACTGCATGTGCAGTGTTTAAAACAGCACTGCATTAGTTCAGTACACATACGTGCATGACTTTGTTAGAATATGTCTAACATTACACCCCTATTTGTTTTAAGCGACTCTTTTGATTGGACGATGTGTTTTATGTAACAGCACTGTAGTGTTTCACTGTCTGTCTGCGTCTGCTGCTGCTTTTTCATCATAAGAATATTGCCATATATTTTTTTACAGCTAGTTTTCCCAACTTTCTTTCACACACTCATCCTGAGTTGAACACTGAGATGTGCCTTTTCTGTCGTCTGTCCCCTGGATGCTTAAAGCTGCGTGTCACATTAAAGGCGTGATGGATGACCGTTCTGCTCCGACATGACAACCCGTCTCTCTCTCTGTCTCTTCACTCCATGCACCTCCATGTCTGCTGGCTTCATAGGCAGCATCTGTTTAAGGGAGCATCCACACTCATAAGTGACTGATCTGACAGATTACACTCCTCACATGAAGCGCACAAAAATAATGGCACAATAATTTAACAAGTATAAACGCCCTCAGCACACACACGTATTGACCGGAATTGTCAATTTTCTGTTAATAGGTTTCAGTAGAAACATCAACATTCTCTCGACTCATCCACCATCTAGCATGGATTTTCTTGCGATGCATTCTGGGATTACTTTTTCCATTTATTAATTTAAAAGATGCTTTTATCCCAAGTGACTTACAAATGAGGAACAGCGCGACTGTCTTTCTTCACAAAGGATGCATGCGATGGAGTAGAGTGTGGCCTAAATGAGTTATGTTAGGAGACAGCTTAACGTTTCTGCCGACCTCTTCATGTCTCCCGCACCTATGAGGCCTTGAAGTGCTGTCTAGGTACACTAGAGTTTAAACAGAGCTGACACACATTTTAATTACACCAATTCACCAGATGAAGAAGTTTGCTGTCAGTTGTTATATCATAAGCACGGTTGAGTGAATTCAGTGCAATTTTAGGATAAAAACAACAGCAGCTGTGGTTGCCAGAATTTTACTGTAAAAAATACAGTAGCAACATTTTAAGTTTTACGAGAAAAAAGAAAAGAAAAAAAATCATATTTCATAAACTATAATGTGTTTACATATCAAAACACTAAAATCAATTTTCATATTTTTTTTGCCTTTATAATATACTGGCAAGCACCACAATCACACAAATGCAAAACACCATCACGGTAGCACACAACACTACAATAATGCAATAAACATTAGTTTACCAACTTAAGATGTACCGCTGGGAACTGAACTGAAGAAAAAACTAAACAAAACAACAAAGTTATTTCAATAAAAAACAGACTTTAACAGATTTTTTTTTACCATAGCATTTTTTACAGTCTTTACTGTTAAAATTAGGATTTTTTCTTACAGGTCTTAAAAAGGTCTCAAATCAGAGCAAAACATCTTAAAATTATAAAAGTCATGGCCTTAAATATTGTGTGCACAAAAAATGAATATCTTCCTCAGTATTTTCGTCCTGTTTTCCAATACAAATATCTAAACATCCTTAAATCAAGATACTTGAGATGCAAAATGAAAATATGTGACCCATGCTGGCAAAATGAGTGGGAATGCGCATGGGCTAATTTTGAGCTACGGGCCAAAAAAGTGAAAATGAATTTTGGTCAAATTTGACGTTTTCACAAAAATGAGTTCAATTAGCCCTCGTCTAGCGATCTCATTGCTCCAAATAGTAATTAAACATCTAAAATGATCTTTAGTTGTATGTTTTCTGAGAGGTGTACATTTTTCTCTGCTCACTTCTTGACGACTGCTGCTTCTCCTCAGCACAAGTTTGGTAGAGTTGTAAAGTGCAGCATTCCAGCTTTGTGAATATTCACAGCAAATTCTCGATGACATGAGTCTGAACCACTTAAATTTGATGTTCAATGTGATGTTCGTTTGTTTGTTGAGGAAAATCATCTGATGTGTAACATTATATTAGAGCCGTGCATTACAGTAGGTCTTAATATATAGGTTAATATCAGTTTATTTGTAATGAATACACTAAAGTGATTTTTACATTTGATTAACCTATTTGCTTTTCTTGAATGCTTTTTAGATAAAAAAAAGTAGAGCCCGACCGATATATCGTTTTGCCGATTTTATCGGCCGTTATGAGCCTGTCACAGATATATTGGTATCGGTGAATATGCCGCCGATATGAATTTTTTTTTATTTAAAGCATCCAATTACTAGGGTTGGGAACCGAGAACTGAGGTTCTGTTTTTTGATGAGAACCGGAACCGTGAGTTATTTCTAAGTTTCGGTTCCGAAAATGGTTCTGGTGCGACACGTAACCAAGCGCCGCCGATATGAATTTTTTTTTACAGAACATAAAACGCAGATAAAATGCTTGTAAATGGTGTAATTACGTAGTTTGTCCAGCAGAGCGTGCTCCATTTTTTGCTACTGGCGACCTGGATGAAACATCTCCCAAATTTGGTGGAGATCCGCCGGCGCGTTCGCGAGATAGTTTCCAGTTCCAAGGGAACGTACACGTTACAAAGAGCATTAAAGTGCGCGAGACGTGAATTTATATTGTATTTCTTTACAGAGGTATATTATGTCACACTTCACACTTCTCTAGTAAGTTTCGTCTGTGTGTGAAGACAGTAGCGCAAATCCGTGAATGAATGTTTCGAAGTGAAAAACTGAATTGAACTGAATTATAGTTGAATAAACTTCAACTTTACTGTTCAGTGCACTGATGTCAGACTCATTTTGGATAATAAAGTTTATTGTTAAATTGTTAAATGCCCTGCCTCCATTACGTATCTCTGTCACGTCATTATAAGTGTTTGATCACCACATTTGAGTGATCATTGCAAAAAATGTGTTTATGTATATATATTCTGTATATGTATATACTGTATTCTATATATAGTAGCAGTCAAAAGTTTGGACACGGATGGGAAAGTGTCCAAACTTTTGACTGGTGCTGTACTATAATATACACAAAGAATATCAGCCGATATATCGATATCGGCCTTTTTTTACTCCCTAATATCGGTATCGGTATCGGCCCCCAAAAAACCCATATCGGTCGGGCTCTAGAAAAAAGTAATGCACTATTTAATTAGTTTCTTTCTTATATTTGTTCTACTGTTTATTTGCATCTTTGTTCAAATTTTTAATAACAAAGATGAAATAAAAAATAGCTATATTGTGATTATTTATATAGTAATTATTATTAAGAAAAGAAGTGGAGGAAAAGATGCAACGTTGCTCAGCGATTTTGCTTTGGAACCTTTGCTGACTCTGGCGACTTCAAACGGGTCATTGCTCATTGCGACTCATTTTGCCAGCTCAGGTCACATATGAAGTCTTGTTTTCTGAGAAATTGAACAAAATAAAGTGAGTTTATGCTTAAAACATGAACAATTATCTGTTAGTGTGTAATGAAAACCTTTCTCTTTTGTTTTCCCTTTAAATTAAGTTGATTTCTCTGAGAGCATTGTCAGATATTTGTTCTTGTTTTAATCATAAACCAACCTTACTTTAATCAGTTTCTCAATAAGACAACTTTTGTCCTTTTGCTTCTTAAGTAATTGTATATTGATTTAAAAGTCTTTTGGAGATTAGCAATAGAAAACAAGACAAACATACTGAGGAAGAACAGCACTTTTTGTATTTACTGTATCAGATACAGTTATTTCCATGAACGTTATTTCTATAATAGTTATATTTTTTGTCAAAATGTAGTGAAAATCTCAATCTGTTGGAAGTTGCATTTTCAAACTTTGAAGTATTAATACAACTCATTATGTGCTCTCTAGACATTGACATTTAGAGACCATATTGACCTATTGCATCCCTTGCATTCTTTACTTGATCTTAAAAAGGTCTTGAAAAAGTCTTAAATTTACCTTCATAAACCCTAAATCTTAAAAACAACACACAGCCCATGATATGATATGTATGTGTCAGCACTGACTCCCAGCATCCTCAGCTGCTGAACAGACTTCATATAGATTCACTTGAAACATGTTCTTCAGACGCACTACTAGAGTATGTGAAGTCGAACGCTGGCTATTTACAGTTTCAAACACACAGCACGCTATACAAAGGGCTCGCTAGAAACGTGCTGTTTCTGCTCGCAGAGGATATTTGTGTATTTACGGCTTCCTACAGGAAGCTGTGACCTGACTGCAGCTCTGCCTCGCTACGCTAGCCGACTCCGTCTCTCGAACACGACAAACCCACTTTCTTTCGTCCCGTATAGCATGTGAACGCCGTCCACATGAGTCTCCTGCGCCTCCACAGGCTCTCAGTGATCTGGAAGAACTGGATGTTCAACCAGGATGCTGACGTGTCTGACTCCGACTCTTTACAGGTGGAGAACGCCAGCGAGAGCGACGACGCGGCTCTACAGGGACACTCGCGCCGCCGCTTCCATAAGGTGAACGCTGGAGGAGAGCGGCAGCTGATCATAGACGTCCATGACGCCTCGGCCACGGTAAGGCGCCACGATTTTCAGTCAGATTTCTAGCGTTAGAGTAGTTCAACAAACTTTGGTGCAGGGAATATGATTTTAAACGTCAAGAAGCCAGTGAAGTCAAGAAGGGAGTTTCTTCTACTGATAGCATCAGAAGCTGTCAGTTAGACTTCTTAGTAATCTGTTGGACACCCAAGGCTTTCGGCCGTTATCTGCTGCTAGTAGTTTGTTAGCAGAGGCTGTGTAGTTTCCCGTGCAGACAGTGAGAGACCGTCATCTTGAATGTGTTGTTCTTCTCTCTATGCGCTCAGCCTCTGTTCCTTCTGTGGATGTGCTTCATGCTCGTCTCGGCCGGTCGGTGTCATGTTCTGGTGCACATAAGCACACGTAACGTCCTAAGAAGAATATTGACCCTGTAAAGCTACTGAGTTATATTTGAGGTGCAAGTTTCTAAGGCCTCTAAATGATCTGCACGATCAAAACTTGATTGCTGTTAAACCTCACTATCTACTTACATGCCTTCTGTCTGATTGAGACTTTTAGTATAATTCTACAAACGGCCACCTTCAGCTCGTGCTTTTTGCTGTGAAATCTTTACTGATTTTTATTTTGAACATAAGAATAACTTTGATATTGTTTGTAATATTTCAAGATGAGCACTTACTGGACTGAAGCAGCTTTGCTTTACTTGATTATCCAGACATCATTTTTTTTTTAGAAAAATCAGTGAGTCTCAAATATGATCATCAGGCTTTTGAGGAACGTTTATTTTTTGTTCATCTCTCAATCATCATTGGATTGCATTGCATTATATGTTTTGATCATCAAACAAAGCATTTTTTATCATCTTACTAAGACATGTTATTGGAGATATAGAGTGACTGCTGATATTTATATCATTTTATGTAAGCATAAAGATATCATTGATTTATATCGGCATCTGTACCAAATTGCATATTTTTGCTCAGTTTGGGCCATTGAAATGAAAATTAAGGTGTTTTTCCCCTTCATATTCTCACTATATCAGACTATATGAGCCATGAAAGCCTGATGGATCAAATATTATACTCAACAAAACACATATACAAACTTTGTCCAAAGGTTCAGTGAACTGTTGCATTTCAATTTTTTTTATTTTTCTGGCTTCACAGGGTGGTTCTTTGAAAGCATGACGTGGTCTTCATGTCCTCTAGTGCAGTAGTTTGTCTTTTAAACACTGTTAGAAAGATCAAGTTTTTCTCTGAGTGACTGATGAGGTTTATTTCTTGAAAATGCTCCCCTCAGTGTCCTGCAGCTCGGTTGTTTTATTTTCATCAGTAAGTGAAACGGGACCACTGCAGTGGTAATGTCACGATCCCTGCCTGTTTCTCCTGTGTCTGTGGTTATGGACTCTTGTTGTGTAGTTCTGTGTCTTCATTGTTGCTTTGTTCACCTCATGTTTTCCTGCTGTTCTGTTCCCTTGTTTGTTGCCATGGACACTCATTGGACCACACCCACTCCCTGGTTACTCATTGGTTCATTGGTTCAGCTCTGGATACAGTATATAGCCCCAGTGTTTCTCTTGTGCTTGTGTCAGTTGTTTGATGATACGATTCATGTCATGCTCCTGTCCCTCCTGCTCCCTGTGTTTGTGTTTGCTGTTTTGTTTCATTCCTTAAAGGGGGAGTTTTGAGCAGTGTAGAGTAACACTTGTTGTTTGTCATTTCTCTTATCACAAATGCAGACATTGTTTTATGTTTACACGGCGCGATGCAACGCAACGCGTAAAAAGACAGTATAAGTCATTATAATCCGTAATTATGTCCCCACTGGATGCAACAAATGCCTCGTTTATAATGGGTTTTAATGTCTTGTCGCTCCGGCCTGACAGGGCATCACAATATGGTGATGCTTGAGGTATTCGGCCAATCACAACGCACTGGATAGCTGGC